GGAAAGAGTATTCAGAGTAACATTTCATCTTTAAAACAAACAAAAAGTAATAAACTGTGACTTAAGACAGTGTGCTGTGGTTAGTATTTATTCATATCCATACTCTAATTTCTAGCAATACATAACAGCCAGGAGTTTCCAAAAGGTAATGAAATGTCAAAAAGTACTTTTTATACTTGTTTTAACCATTTTTCTTACTTTCTTTTTGCTTGACAAAGCTGAAACAGAAACAGGAAAACATCCAATCGTTATCTCTACATCCAGTTCATCTCCATTTTTCTACTTGTCTACAGGCTTTTAAAATTCAAGAGTACTGTAATATCTGCAATAGTCATCATTATGTCACCTCTTCTTCTGCTACAGACTGAGGTAAGTAAGGTAAGTCAGCTCATTATCCATTCACCTGGCTGTATTACATTCCCTGCCTTAAGTCCTAATCCTCTTATTACTTATTTTTCCGATTCATTACTCACTTCCTCTTACAGATGTAAAATACTGATACTACCATTCAAAATAAACACCGTAACATTAGACTTTGTGGTGTTCTCCATTTGCCCAATAATTAGCTTGTGACAGTGCCATGAACAAAAAAAAAAAAAGTGGTGACAACGTCAGGGAGAAAAAAACCCTAACCTTTATCTTTATTCACTTTTGTAAAATTTCTTTATGGGTTTCTCTTGAGCATTCAACACACGCCTCTACAGATGCTGGTGGGCATACGCTTTCCATAGATAAAGCGCAAGTCCTATTCTTGAAAACAACCATGGCGTAAGTTAAAAGTGCTGCCAGAAATAACAGTTCCTCCCTTCTCCCCAGGCCACCTCCCTCCCTCCTCCACAGGCACTTGGGCAGACGCGGGGTGCGCAGAACAAGGGCCAGGGACGGGGGTTACTATCACCCCCGGAGCAGGACGGCACCAGCACCGTAGGGTTGAGAAGCAGCATCCCGATGCTGCGGGATGCAGCCCTGCCTCCTTGCAGCCCTCTCACCCTACACCATCGTTTAACAGCATTTCATTCCATCCTTTTCTAAGACCTCTGATCATAAAATAGTAATTTAAAACCAAAATGCTTCCGCTTAATACCTTTTTCTTTAAATTCTTGGGCCTGGCTGAGTGCTTTTGCACATCAGAAGAGGCCGGGTTCACATCACATTGAGATTAATGGGATATTCCCCACTAAATATAAGGTTATTTCCTAGGGAAAGGTAGTGTGCTGTGCCCGTCATTTGCTGAATCAAAATCCCATGCGCTGTCATCTCTGAACAGACAAGGATCCCCACTGGTAAGAATTACAGGTAAAGCTCACGACAACACACGCACAGCTTGCACAGAAACAATTTTCAAAGACTGTATTAAAAGAATACAGATGGGATCACACTAATAAAAGAGATGCTGTAAGGAATAAGCATTTTTTAAAAAACATTTCTAATTTGAATTCTAATTGGATTATTTGAGCTTGAACCTTCAAATAAAAATCTATTTAAACACATGTTTTCTTGCTAAATAACCTAAACAAACACAAAGCACCACTGAGTTTAAGGGAAGAAAGGAGATGAAAAAAAAAAAAAAAAAGAAAAAAAAAAAAGGTATTTCAATGTCCCAACTGCTGCTTGATTTTTTTAAAGGGTTTGTTTCAACATGTCACAGTCAAACAAGTCAAACCTGCACTATCATTCACACCCTCTTCTAATACAAAAAACATTTAAGTACGGTTATATTTTATGAAGTAGCTCCTTATTTGATTGACAAGAAGCACAATCTCTTGCAAAATAAATTCCATCTCAATACAATACATGCTCTGAAGGCCCTTCTCATTCCTTTTTAAGGCTTTTCTCTTCAAATTTCCCTAGTATCATCTATTTTGAGACCTTTTTGATCAAAACTCTCTGTTTTCTGATATTATTTACACTAGTCAGGTGCTTCCAAAACAATAAAAAGAAAGTTTGAGAAACTGCATGTCAAGCTACACAAAGTTAATTTGAATCAAACAACTAGTAGAGAGCTATGCGTCCACGATGAAATCCAGCATGCTAAAAACCTTTTCAGAAGTAAATCTTTTCAGAAGTAAACTTTTTGTAGAAAATAATTTTGAAGTATAGTATCACATCAGCATCTCCTAAGGAAGCTGGTGGCTCTTGGCCTAGGCAGGTGTACTCTTTGCTGGGTAAAAAACTGGCTGGGTGGCCGAGCTCAGAGAGTTGTGGTGAATGGAGTTAAATCCAGTTGGCAACTGGTCACAAGTGGTGTTCCCCAGGGCTCTGCTTTGGGGCCAGTCTTCTTTAATATCTTTATCAATGATCTGGAAGAAGGGATTGAGTGCACCCTCAGTAAGTTTGCAGATGACACCAAACTGGGTGGGAGTGTCGATCTGCTGGAGGGTAGGATGGCCCTGCAGAGGGACCTGGACAGGCTGGACCGATGGGCCGAGGCCAACTGTATGAGGTTCAACAAGGCCAAGTGCCAGGTCCTGCACTTCGGTCACAACAACCCCATGCAACACAACAGGCTTGGGGAAGGGTGGCTGGAAAGCTGCCCAGTGGAAAAGGACCTGGGGGTGTTGGTGGACAGCCGGCTGAACATGAGCCAGCAGTGTGCCCAGGTGGCCAAGAAGGCCAACAGCATCCTGGCTTGTATCAGGAATAGTGTGGCCAGCAGGAGCAGGGAGGTGATCGTCCCCCTGTAGTAGGCACTGATGAGGCCACACCTTGAATACTGTGTCTAGTTTTGGGCCCCTCAGTACAAGAAAGACCTTGAGGTGCCGGAGCATGTCCAGAGAAGGGCAACGAAGCTGCTGAAGGGTCTGGAGCACAGGTCTTATGAGGAGCAGCTGAGGGAACTGGGGTTGTTTAGCCTGGAGAAGAGGAGGCTGAGGGGAGACCTTATCGCTCTCTACAACTACCTGAAAGGAGGTCGTAGTGAGGGGGGTGGGCTCTTCTCCCAAGTAGTTAGCGATAGGACGAGAGGAAATGGCCTCAAACTGCGTCGAGGAGGTTTAGATTGGATATTAGGAAAAAATTCTTCATGGAAAGGGTTGTCAAGCATTGGAACAGGCTGCCCAGAGAGGTGGTGGAGTCACCATCCCTGGAAGTGTTCAAAAAACAGGTAGATGTGGCACTCTGGGACATGGTTTAGTAGGCATGGTGGTGTTGGGTTGATGGTTGGACTGATGATCTTGGAGATCCTTTCCAACCTTAATGATTCCTAGTTTTACTTTCATTAAAAAATAATCCAGCCACCAAGACAGGAAACATGACATTACTACCTACCCTTAATTGTTTTAGTGGTGGACTTGGTAGCGTTAGGTTAATGGTTGGACTGAATGATCTTAAAGGTCTTTTCCAACCTAAATGATTCTATGAATATTTTTGAATGTACATCCACAAGGAACCCCACTTACTCACGCTTCAGTGCATGTCATGCAATACAAGTATCCAAAATGCGCACAAGGTGCCAAGGAGTTGCACATTGATCTTGCCAGCATACAGACCTGTTCAACCTAGTAAGCATGTCAAAATTCTATGTAAAGTATAGGTGTGAAGGAACATCAACCCAGGTAAAACAAAACTACAGCTAAAATTCGTATGTAGGCAACTGAATAAGCACAACAATGCTATGTCTAATGAGCCACAAGTTTTCACTTTCAACATGAACAGTTGTAAAATATTTAAAATTTTCTTCAAATTACTCATTGTCCTAGTTTACTGGCTTTTTACTGAATTCGCAGAGACAGGCAATACCCAGGACATACTATTGCCAATGATGCAAAGCAGAACTGAAAAAGGTCTTCAGTCAAGACAAGTTCAGCTTATAAGGAAAACAAAAGTACCTCAGATGCGAAATACTAACAGCTTTTATGTGTCACACAGGTTGGATAACTATACAAAGAAAGGATTAGAAAACAAAATCAGAAATATACCTCCATTTTGAGGCCAATGGAGAATGCAACCATGTACCAAAATCACTTTAAATGCCTGCCTGGTATCACCTTAAACATTTAAGTATCCTATCACTCACTAACTCCAGAAGTTCACTGAAGTCCACAGCTGCTGAAGAATTGAGTTTAAGAACTAGGCAAAATATTTACAAGTGCTGAAGAAAAACAGAGGCATTTACATAATCCTTGGCAACAGGATATAAAAATATGGCACTTCTAGTACACTGTCCAGCTGCTTACAGAAAAAAAGCCATCATGTTAGGAAGACAGGAAAAGCATCCTAAGTGAAAGCTAATTTTTTTTTTTCTACTTTCCTTTTAAAAAGGCTCATCAGAGGTCTCAAAATAACAGTGATGACTTCAGAGTGCAACAAAAAACATACTTCTAGAAAAAAAATAGCACTATAAAAACATTAAAAGCAAACATTCACATTTAGAATGGTAACCAACCACTTAATCTTAGTATGGCCTTCATTCTTAGATGGTCCTTATGTTTTCCAAATTATTCTTATTAGTTATCTGGAAGAGTAATTATTTAAGCCATTAACTTCAATAAATGCTAAAACCTTGCTCCATTAAAAGTTCAAAACAAAGTAAAAGACACCTACCTGTAATACCGAGATTGTAAATAGGTTGAACAAATAGTCTTTGATACATGGCTGGCAGACCCAAAATCTATTACTTTAACTCGGTAAGGCTGCCGAACAGGATCCACCAACATAATGTTCTCTGGTTTGAGGTCAGCATGGATTAAACCCAGACTTTTTAATTTTTTCAGTGCAGTGGCCACCTGTTGCAGAATAGGCCGTATTACTTTCAGTTGCAGAGGGCTGAATTTGTTTTGTTTCAGGAAGTCGTATAAATTCTGTTCCAACATCTCAAAAACCAGACAAGTATGGTTACGATGCTGAAAGCATTCGTACGCTCTCACAAAGTTAAATTCATCAGCATTTTCAGTACTTAGTCTCGCTAATATGCTCACTTCTATTTGTCCTTGGCGTGCATATGAAGGATGATTCTTCAAGATTTTGATTGCCACAATCTCATTTGTCCCCCTTTTCCAGCACTTCACTACTTGTCCAAAGGTCCCTCGCCCAAGGAAATCAAGAACCTCATAAGTGTTTTTCACAGAGCACAATACCTCATGCTGTACTAACTGGTAATCTCCATCACCGCTTGTACCATTTTGTTTTGAAGTTGCAGCCGTTGTCACAACCGTCACTGGGTTTCCTACGTTAGTTTGCAACATTGCAGGCAGGATGGACAGTTCATCGACAATCTGCATCGTGCCGTTTTGATTATCCAGCTCTTCGCTCTTACGCTTCAATCCACATCGCTGGGGTCCTTCCAGGATATCTGATCGGCTTCCTTGCGTCCCAGTCCAAGGTGCCTCTAACTGAGCTTGCTGCGCCCGCGCTGCTAACACTTTTGTAGCACCTGCAATATTTTTTAAAGCAACAGCATTTGACTGCAACAAAAAGTTCTGTCCTCGAGGTCTGTCAAATGGGTTTTTAGTCTGAAAGTACGTACTAACCCTGCGGGGAGAAATTCCAAAGTTTTTACCATTCACATAGATTTGTGGGTAGGTTCTTTCCTGGTACACACAACTGCTTGGTTCTAATTTGAGTTTCTTCACGCTACAAAAGGCACTTGACTGGGTTTGATAAACATATGGTGGATAGACCAAGACTTGTGAGGCCATACCTACAGAGGGAGAGAAAAAGAAAAAGCAAATGAGGATCTTGCATTCATATTTCCAAGCTCTGCAGCAGCTTCCTCTTCAAAAAAAAAAAAAAAAAAAATCAGGACACGAGTTTATTTTCCAAACGAGCTAGCCTAAAGTTATTTCGTATTTAGGTTCTTATGGGCAATAGCAAGGTCATCACTCCTTACCACCCATGCACACTCTTCAGCACACAAGGACTGCAGCAGCAGGTTACAGCAGGAAGCGTTTTTGCTGGTTGCACAGGGCAGGTCTGAAATAGTCTGCAGCAGGCCACTACTAGTAATTTTTCAAGTGGGGGAACTACCTTTGTGCTATTAAAAACTCAGCTTTCATTTAAAAACACCCAGCATTTCTACGTACAAAAGTACCGCAGTGTTCAGTAACATAAGTTAAATAACCAATTCAAATATTTGTCAATGATGATGTAAAATAACTTAAAAGCTCTTAATTGTGAGCTGATGCTACCTGTTACACAAGGTATCCAACCTACTCATCATAAACACCATCAGACTTCTGAGAGCAGACAGACAAATGACACAACTGCCACTGCTCCAACAATTTCACCATGATGAAAGTGAAAGCAATCGGGCTGTCTGATGGGGCTCAAAATACCTTAGGGGCATGTGTATGTTCATGTAAACAATTGCAGCTTTCTGGGTAAATTATGATGTACAGTAATCTAATCCATTCACAAAAGGCAAGTGCTTTCTCCGAGTTATATACTGTCCCACCACAGAATTTTGCACATCAATGACACAGTTGTAGGGGGTAGAAGCACCATCTTTTTTTCCCCGCCCTTCAATTCAGATTTGGAAACTAAGTATTATCCTCATATGTTCAGATATGCCAATTTCCTGAGTTGTTGGGCCATAGAAACCTGCACTCTAAGGTAACCTGTTAAATTAAGTAAGTATAATACTCTACAGAACTATAAAATATATCCCTGATCAAGATAATTTCTGAAAACTAGGATAATTGTAGACAGAGAACCGACGATGACAGACTTCTCACAGAAAATTTATTTTCAAGTGAATATGAAAGGAAGAATATATTTATATATATATTTTTCCTATATTCTGCATATATTTTTCATTTATCTCCTAATAATTTTTTTCTGCCAACACAATTACTTCCTTGCCAACAGAGAAGTGAAAGTTAAAATTACCCATAGTCTTTCATTCTAACTTTTGAATTCCCAGTAAGGCTGAGATCAAAATTTCAACCTAAATGAATTCACCTTCCTTGAGGTCATCACATTTTCAAAAGGCTACACCCGCACAGCCTCTCAGAAAGAACACTTGCACCTCGGAAATGGGTAACAAAGAAGAGTTTTGCACAAGAGGAGGCAGTTTGCCAGCCCAGGAAGCCCCCGAGCACAGCAGCGCCGCTCTGCATAGCCCGCGTGACAGCGCAGGATTAGTCTCGCTGCCTCCCCGAATTCACCCTGACTCGGGACGCTAGCTCTGCAGAAAGCAGGGCCGCAAGACCATCCAGGGTCACGCTCCACACCATACCTCCCATTCCCAGACACGAAGCGGAGCACACCAGCACAGCATCGGAGGGAGGAGGAGAACGGCAGCAGTACCTGGCCTGCACACAGGATGTGGAATCTCGACTCCACTTTAAAATGCGTAGAGCCCATCTCTCGGATGCTGCATCTTCTGGCTCTTGTCTCTGCACTGACCCTGCTGTGTTGCCTTCCAGACCCGTCAAACACCAGCCTTAAACTTTTATGGCACATAACACTAAACACTAAGAAAAAGGCACTGGATGGACTCCAGTGTAAATGACTACAAGGTTTCAGGGACGTTATGGCTTATACCAATAATACTTTAATTAAATCACTTTTTCATACCAAGCATATGAAGATTCTGGCAATAGGTATTTAAATCAAAGATGAGTCCATAAAACTTGAGCCAGTCATTGCAATGACAGATCAAACGAAAACTAACCAAATGCCCAGCACAATTATTCTGAAGCTGTGATTTATGGAAATTAGCATTTAAGCATCTTAAGAGAGATTAAAATAATCATGCCATCACCATAGTTTAGCATCCTATAATGTTTTTTGCCCTACCAGTAAAAGAAAATTTCAAAGCCCTTTCCTTTCCAAAGCTGTTTGCCCAGAGCCAGACAATGTAGAAAGCTGGAAATGACCAGCAGCCAGGTTCTCGCGTCACCAAGCACTCCATAGTGTGTAGCTCCATAGCCACCGGCCTCCTGCTCCATGCCAAGGACTTAAGAGTAACTCTCAACCTCAAAACGCTGGCAAAAATTCTCCAAGTTCTTGAATTCTCTCCTAAATAACATACCCCATTACAAAGTGCCTGGTGCACAGCATAGGCATATTACTGACTACGGGACTTACCCTCTTTGCTATACTATTTAAAGGAATCATTTATCCTGATCACATTACTTAGAGCTCCAAAATCAACCCTCACCAACCGCCCTGGAGCACACACACATCCAAGCTTACTGGGACCTTCCAGGGCCACCTGCACAGCTCAGGCCAAACCAAACCTTCCGTCAGCAGGCTACCATTCTTCCAGTTCTTCTGGGACAACTCAAATACCAGATTTGCCACATTTACTCCAAAGACACTAAAGTTTCCAAGTAATATTTTTTTTCTTAAAAATCTTTTCACAGTTCCTCTTAAAAAAAACTCCACTTGCCTTTTCACCAGAATCCCCACTTAACGCCTTTTTCACACACGTATGCATGACAGAAGTAAAACATTCAACCTCAAAAAACTTATACACTTTAAAAGTAAAGAAACTGTCCCTTTTTGTTATCGCACAGTTTGCAGACAGGAGAGTTCGGATGCCCAGCGCCACCTCTGCGACTCAAGAGTCTAATGCAGATGACAAATCTAAATGCCAAGCAGACCCAGGAGCAGGGACAGCTACACCACTAAGCTCCTGGGTAAAAACAGGTCCAGCATGAACAGCCAAAGCTGCAGTTGCTGCTCCTTCCAACGGGAAGGAGTCTGGATGCCTGACCCATGGGCAAGAGCCCTGCCAAACTGCAGCAATCCCAGCGGGTCCATTCACCTCAGATCTGCGGTAACCAAACAGCGAACATCTTGCTTGGTTTAACTTCTGGAGAAGGTATCTGCCTGTGTACGTGTGTCGCCAAAACTGACAGTATGAAATCAAGACGATCACTTTGAAAAAGCAGTGATAAACCTACACAGCAATTAAGGAGGTTTTCTGAAGACAGGACAGCAACCCAGTGGCGGGGAGTGGGACACGGACACAGTCCCCTAGCATGGCCAGAGGACCACTCAAACCCTTACCCCAGCCTGTTGGGACCACTGGCATTCAAAAATGTCTAAGTTCTCTACAGCTCACACTATTCAAACCAGTCCAAAAGGACTGGAAGGACATAGTCCCAGCTTTCTCCTTAATATTAATTTCAGTTGGACGAGAGAAACTAGGCTATCTTTATCATCATTTGGGCTTTCTGTACTTCTTACAAGCTTAGCTCCAGGACCCTGAACTCCAACCACACTAACAGTTCTGTTCTCAGATAAGAAGTGTTTATCGAGTCATTCTGAGAATATTTTTAGCAACTCCAAGAAAAAAAAAAAAAAAAAGATTAAGCACTATATATAAAACAGATGACATACACTAGAAGAACAATCTATGATGCAATCATGACAGACTGAACTAAAAAAAGTCAAATTTTACTCTGGAAAAGTAAAAATGGTCTTAAAGTTCTTGTATGAGCATCTAATTTCTTAGCTTCCCCAAAACACTTCTCTCTTACCCTCATAATTTTTTTTTTTTTTTTTAAAACGTACACTCCAAGATGCAATCTCATTTGGAGAAGCTACAGTATCTTCATATAACCAGTGAATAAAACACTTTTATAGGTCTTCCCATGAAACAGGAACATTAAAAATCCTGCAGCATCCTACACTTAGACTGCTTAAAGACCTCTGCCACGCACTCATACGCGATGCTCAGAAGATGTTCCAGACAGAAGCACGCTCTTTACTGTACATTAATATATCTGCAACAAAATATACCAGAAGAGCACGTAACTATCCAGTACAACTAGCTGCTGGAGGTCTTTGCTTTGAGAAGCTAAGTTTATCAACAGAACTGATTTCCCCCAACCCAGATGAAAACCCACCCCCACACCCAGAGAGCAGAGCTGCACAGCAAACCTTAAAGAGAAAGGGAAAATACCACGACACCCTCTACTCTAACAGCACTGCCATGTTGTGGGGGCTTTTTTGTTGGTTTGGAGGGTTTTTTTGCAGTTCAGGTGGTGGTTTGTTTTGGAGGCAGGATTTTTTTGTTTGGTTTTTTGTTCCTGTGGGTTTTTTTTTTGTTTGTGGGGGGTTGCCCCCCCTTTTTTTTAAAAAAAAAAACAAAACCCACACTATTTTGGGGGATTCAGGTTACAAGATAATCCTATGGATAGCCACACTGGAAAGAGGGAAGAGTTACTGTGTTGCAGGTTGGGTTTTTTTTAAGCAGGTCTTCTGGTTAAAGAAAATAGTATAATGCACACTGTACCACAAAGTGGGTCTTTACCCCCTGCCTTGTCACGAATCATTTCACTGAGCTTATACATCTTTCTGCACATTTCTTATCCAGACTACTTCTGCTTCCCGGTACAAACTGAAGCTTGTTAATGTATATACAGTCTGACAAGTCCAGCAGCACAGTAAGAGAGGGATGTGTAGAGTAAAGCA